TGGCCCTCACTGAGACCAAAATCTGCAATCTACAGTTCACTCCAAAGCGAGACGAAGGGCAAACCCCGCTTTAATGTGGGAGTCCCCCCAAGGGGAAGCTGTGGAAAGAGACGGGGATTCCCCTGCCTTTTCCTTTTCCTTTTCCTTCTCCTTTTCTCCCTTTTCCGGCGTCAGTCACTACTATATGAACATTTTTTCCCTTCGCTGTCAGGACACCAACGTAACGTTCTTAACTTAACTGCTGCTTAAAGGTGATGCTACGCGAGACGATTCGAAACGACGATTTTTAGCGCAAGAAAGCTTTTCAACATTGTTGCGACATTGTTTCGAACAGTTCCAACTTTGTTCCAACATTGTAACGCTATGTGAAAATAAAATGATCAGCTTGCCACGAGCGTACGACAAAGAAACAATCTGAGTCTCCGACAAGATTCGAGCCTATAACGTTCCAAAGACCGGGAGGGCGCTCTATCCACTTGAGCTACGGAAGCTTACGGAGAACTCATGGAGAGCGAGGCGATGTATTAGGTTCATATTTGACACGCCTCCTGCATACTGCTAGGATCAGCAATGTCGATGTCGCACTGTGTGGAGAGAGAATGAAAGATGGTAATTTTTTAGGCTCGGTAAAAGAAATGTGCACTCAAAATCGTCGTTGCGAATCGTGTTGTGTAACATCACCTTAACGTTCCTAAGCAAGTTTGTCCAAAGGCACGGCAAGAACGCAGTTACGGTAGTCTGACAATATTTCTCTGGATATCTTCTGCTGATTCAATATTTCTGAGAGAGAGTTAGAGATAATGATAGTTCATTTTCTTACAGGGTTTCTAGACTTGAAGCGCCCTTGAAGGTTTCTGGTCCAATCATGGAAAGGTTATTGTTGTTTAGGAATCTATAAGAAAAAAAAGCTATAACCAGTCCAGAAATTTATACGACAAACATTCAGCAAAAGTGCTTCTAAGAGATAAATAGAATTAAATAAAAATGTAATGGAGAAAAAATACTTATCAATATAAAAATATGTTTCTAACACATGTTTCAGACTCGTCGCATTTCTGAAGAAATAGTCAGGAATCAATTTGATTTCGTTGTGCTGGAAAAACCTGCAATTGAGGAAAGATAGAAATGAATATTGGTTTATAAAACACTAACACATGGTGCAACATGAGTGCGATAGACGTGGCCAACAAATGATGGTATTCTGAATCTTTCGTTTAGGAGCAACTGTTTTGTTTGGTCCTTTATACCAAAGCCCTGGTAGGTGTGCCGTTTGTAATTACATGTACCGTATTATCCACTCCCCTCAGGGCTTTTTAGGGAGAATTTACAACATTGGTTAAGCGAATTTGCCAGACTGTTCAGTGGCAAGTCCAGGGAAGGAGTCCGCCTTCCGGTTCCCCCTTATGTTTAGACCAAACTGAGGCTCGAAGGGCCAAAAAATTTTTTTTGAGACCGGGCCCCCCTCCTTATCTCAGAGTCTCGATGAACGCCCTCCCCCTCCTCCCCCTTCCTATTATCCGCCACTGCTGTTTATGGTCCAGTTAATAAGTAATGAAAGAATGAGTTAGTAATGATTCTCTCCATATAAGTGTGAATTTGAGATGGGCTACTACAGCCGAGACTACTTCCCCCACTCTTTACGAAGAGTGCATGGGTTCTTTAACGTCCCACAGAATTTATTGCATGTGCAAGGCTGTGTAAGCTGGGCCTACGGTTTATCTTTCTTATTCGAGAGGACCAGAAAGTGTAGCCGTAAGCAGATGCTATCACAAAGGCAGCACTTTCTTCTCAGCTGTTTTAAAGACCCTAAGTGTTAGTGTGGCCGGGGTTCGAACCAGCCGTCTCCCGCGCAGCAGACCCGGTGCCAATTCAATTGAGCTAACTGGGATTAGCGGCATTGATTGTTTATGGGTTCATTTTTTGGGGGACGCTGGCGTTTCATTTTTTTGGTCATAAAACTTTCTTACATGTACTCCAAGTTGTTTGTGTCCCTCA